TTGACTTACATGAAAGCCAGTTATTTGGGGAAAATCTACGAGGGACAAAGCTGATCTGCATGCCAGTGTACTCACAATTTCAGTATCTATTGGCTGATTGAAGGATGTGGAGTTTAATGTAAAAAATAAAATCAAGATATTATTTACTAAAATTGTAGTTTTCATTAGATCAATAATAATACACAGAACAAAAAAAAAAAAAAAAAAAAAAAAAAATAGGTTGCTTGAAGTTAGAATTAAGAAAGAACATAAGCTAAGAATAAATGTGTTAGAAGCTTAAATTCATTGAAGTCTAATTCTTTCTTCCTTCTTCACTGCTGTGCTAACAAAAGAGGACCAGGATCTCCAAACATTTTACTCCAAGCAAACATGAGACTTCAGGCTTCACTTCTTGTATGCAGGGTTTGTAAGGTAATTTAATGCTGACCCCTTCCCTACCACCAACTAGTCAAGGACCAGAATGAAAATGTGGTTTGCTAGTTAGCTGATGTTTAAAGTCAAAACAATATGTTGGATAATTCAATATTATTATGGATAATCTGAGGTAAAAAAGTGTGCAAAGTTAAGCAGCCTTTCTGATTTTGGCCGTAATTCCACAAAATATCAATTCGGAAATGTGAAATTCATAGTAAAGAGGCATAATATAATAAGGATGAGAAAAATATATAAGTAAAAAAATAAATAAATAAATGAATAGAAAACATACAGTACAGAGCAAAGAGCAAAAGTCTTTATTCACAGGCTAGCACTGGTACAAAAAACTGTCTGGCCAAGATGGAGAATAACAAACCAAAGAGGCTTAGTAAGGAATATGACCTCCACTAATTGCAATGGTTGCTTTGCAATGTCTGTTGATACTCAACACCAGATTATCTAACTGTTTTGGGGGTAAGAGTACCCATTCTTCTAGAAACATATGTTTCATCTGTCTGGTGTTTTCCTGAGGGTGAGATTGTGCTGCCAACGTCACCCTAAAGTATCCTACACATGTTCAGTGGGATTTAAATTAGGAGAGCATTTTCCAATCTGTTCTGTGGATTTCTTCACTTTCCAGAAGTAGTATAGTCATTCATAAAACAAAGTCAGACCCAGTGGCACCCCAGAAAAGATGCATATGGGGGAGGATAACTTCATCACAGTAACAATCTTCATAACAATCTCTGTTCAAAATGTGGAGCTCTGTTAATCCGTTCATCATAGTGCCTCCTCATACAAGCATGTTGGAACCACCCCATTGGTCTCCTTCCCTGATGCTAGTGGGATGAAAGCATGTCTCGAAATCTTTTCATACACACTGACACCAAGAATCATATGTGAGACTGAAACAACTCTCATCAGTAAAGAGGGCATAAATCCAATGATTTGTCCAGTCTTTGTGTTATGTAAATAACTGTTAATTTCTGCTGCTGATTGACTGCTGTCAGTGATATTCAGCATTCAGGATGGTGGGCGAATAGGCTACCTTTAAGAAGTGTCTTGCCACAGTAAACAAGGGCACCTGTCATCTGGTTGCCATGTACAATTGTTGAGCAGTGCTGTGGATTTTGGATTTCAATCTCTTTTCACCTGCAAGGTAACATATCGGTTAACAGTCACTGCTTTTTTCCTTGGCTGACCACCATCAACCTTTCTTACAACTGTACATTTCATTTGGAGGGCTTTCGAAGCTCATAAAGCAATCTTTTTTCATCTGCAGGGGAATATATTGGTCAACAGTCACCGTTTTTTCCTTGGCTGACCACCATCAACCTTTCTAATAACTGTATATTTCATTTGAAAGGCTTTCAAAATTCATGGAATAATACTTTTATCTGTTCCATTATATTTTTATTTGGTCAAACAGGTTAACAGGAACGCCTTAACACTATATTACGAACTATCCATTAACCAAAGATGTTCATATAAACATGCCTTCTACAAATATTGAAGCGTTTAAAAAATTCTTAGTTAAACAAAAGTATATAGTACAAAAAATCACGAAAACAATTCAAATACTAGGAAGACTAGGAACAGACCTATGTCAAGTTCTATAATTTATTCAAATGCTAAAAAATAAGTATCATTTAAAGGATTCTACTTTCAAAATTACCTCTAAATATATATATGGAACATATGTAATAAATCGTGATATTAAGATATGTCAAATAAAAAACAACAATAAATTTATTTATTCAGGGAAATACCATACATTCATAAGGACATTGAATTTTAAAATTGGCATTGGAAGAAGAAAATTGGAAGAAGAAAAATGGAAGAAGAAATTTATAAAGAAACATTACGATTTAAGGGTAAAAGTAAATCTAAAGTGCAGATCTTTCAACTGTTCCTTTAAAGAAGAATATGGAGACTACCTATGAAAATGGAGCATTTAATTCTTACAGGAAGATTTTACAAAGAAGAAAGAGAAAATTTTTTAACTTTTTTAAGAGGAAGTTAAAAGGTAAAGGACAAGTAATTTATGAAGAAGGAAAGAGGAACCAAAGAAAAAGTAAATAACAAGAATGATTTTCTTATCTGTTCAATAAAGGAAGAAGGGGAAGGCTCTACATGATTCAGCCATAAAAAGGAATAAGAAAAAGAACTAATGTCACATTACAATTATAATAAATGTACCTCTTTGTATTTGCTAACCAGTAAAATCTACTGTCTATTTACTAGTTAAGACATTTTTCATTAAATAAGAATAAATTTTACAGGAAGATGTTTTATTAAAAAAATAGAGAATAAGATTTTTTAAAGTTATTTATGAAGAAACCATGAGGACAAGAAGAGGATTAAATTAATGAAAAGGGAAGTGAGAATTTAAGAAGAAATAATTCATAATGATGGATTTCATATTTGTCCTTTATATGAAGAATGAAGGGAACATAACGGAAGTTACAGGAAGAGAAGAAGAAGCTGCTGAGTAGAAGTTTAAGGATTTGAGATATAGATGAATTTACTCCATAGTATAAGGATAATTAAAAATTTAGGAAATAGGGAGTAGTATTCAAGATGATATAGCTAATGAAGGACTACTTAATCATTTATGGTAAGTCAGAAGAAGGAGGCTTCAAAGGAAAAGATTTTAAAGGGAAAAGGTATAAAATTGCAAATAAAGGTTTCAAAGGAAAAAGATTTTAAAGGGAAAAGGTATAAAATTGCACATAAAGGTTTCAAAGGAAAGGCAGAAAAAGGCGGTTTCAAAGGAAAAAGATTTAAAGGGAAATGGTATAAAATTACAAATAAAGGCTTTAAAAAGAAAAAGGAAATTTTTCTGTAGAAGATGGAAAGAATATGTTAACAAATATTTCATAAAGATGGATTTCTTATTCGCTTTATTAAGTAATTAGATAAAGGATATATAGGAAGAAAATACATGTAAAATATAGGAAAGAAATTAAGATAGAAGAAAGGAAGATTAAACGAAGATTAAAGGAAAGAGAAGAACGAAGAAAAGAAGAAGAAAGAAAGAGAACTTCTTGAAGAAGAACGAGGGAATAAGTTTCATACGTTTTTTACTACGGACAAATTTCGACATTTTATGAAGAATTACTTACAAAGATACACTTCATGAAGGACTATTATAAAGTACTACTTTAAGATTTTTATTTTTATTTATTTTTTTATATGGCAATGTAAAAACTATTACAATGTTTACTATTACTTGTTACAATGTAAAATTGGATTTATTAATAAATACTAGATAAGGGTGGACGTGGGCAGAGCCGATTAACCGTATGGTAGAGGGATGGTGCCCACGTCCTCCGTTACTATTACTTCTACTATATTTTTAATCTTGAGCAACAGATATCAAATTAGCTCCGTCTCAAGCTTGCAAATCATACTACATGTAAAGGCATCTCTATATTTTCTTGTAGCCATACTGTGTATACAATTCAATTTCACTTGCAGAAGAATGACTAGAAATGAACTTTCCTTTCTCTTTTTAAATTGCCTTGCACTGCACATGTTGACTCCTCGTGTTTTCAGTGCCCTGATGTACCCTCTGATGTCATGATGCTAATATTTGCATATGCATCACCTTTCTACCGAGTTGGCTTTTCACTGTACTGATCACAGGAAAGGAGGGGGAAAAAAAAAAAAAAACATTCAACAGCTTTATAGTTGTACATTGAAAGAAGAATTTGTTGCTTAAGTTTTGCACACTAGTGTAAATCATTCTGGTTGTTAGGTAATTGGATTTTGAACTTTGTATTGTGCTAATATGACCATGTTATATATTTCAAAGAAGTATTCCGATGCTGTTAATTTATTTCCATAATAAAAATTGTTATTCATCCATATCTTGTCCACTTCTTCTTTGAATCAAAACTCTAACCCATTATGAAAGTTAAGGAGGGAAATGCATGAGCAAATGAGATATTTTCATTTAATTTGTTGCAATTAAATAATGAGGCTTATAATTTCATTCTTTTCTGGTTCTGTAATGTACAATAAAAACTTACCATTTGAAAGAATTTTTCAGTTTAAATTACTTTTACCATTTACTTATTAACAATTGTTAACATTTAATAATTTATATTATTAGAAGTTTCTTTGAATTGTTTGTTAGAAGGGGATTGTCTCATGTTACAAAAATAGAAACTGGAAAATGCATTCTGTATTTGGAATGATAGCTGTGCAATGGATAGATGATACATTTGCACTAACATTTTACAACCTAGCTTTACTCTGAAGTATGTGGCTGCTTTTAATTGCTTTATAATACCCTACAGAAAATTCTATTATGTATGTATCTCATAATAAAGTTTCCCTAAATATCAAGTTTTATTATGAAATAATTTTTTTTCTTTTTTTAAAAACTTTTATTTACCATTCATTGCAAGTTGCATCTCAGTTTTAAGATAATCATCATAGAACGAGAAAGCCTGGTGTATTTGTGCAATAATATTACATTATATTTATCAGAATTCTTGTTTAATTTCAAAATAGTAATATCATGTTTAGTTTTTTTTTTTTTTTAAATATATATATAAAGTTTTGTTTTATATTTTCAGATTTTTGGGGCTTATTGTTCATCTTCTTGGAATTTGAGAAACACAAGTGATTCCCAAAACAAAAAATTCTCTTATTTTGGGACTGGCGAAACATTCCTTTTCACTCTAATACCTGAGGCAAGAAAATATCCATGGGTTGGTTATAATACTGATGCAGATGTACCTCATTCAGCAAAACTGTTTATGGCAGCAGATAATCACATGATTAATGTTGGGGCTGGGTAAGTGCTTTTGTTGTGAAATAATTTAAATCGGGGAAGTTTGAAATATTTTTAGATATTTTTATGTACCAACTCTTTTAACTGAAAAAATTAGTTGTATGTTATTACTTCTTTAATTTAAATTAAAATCAGTACAGTTACTCAGAGCTGTGCTAATATATTTTAGTTCTTGATATGAAAAGTTGTCCTAGAATCATAGGACCCCCCCCCCCAAAAAAAAAAATATGTCACAAAAAAAGAAAGAAAACTAGAGAAGACATGTAAAATGCTTTTACTAACTAACAATGTGTTGCAAAATGCCCAGTTGGTGTGTGGTGAAATAGCTTCCCTGCAAAGTGGGTCAAAAATGCAGCTCCTACAGCGAAGTGTAGGAAGAAGTCTGGCAGGTGAACAGCATGAGTCATTGGAGAACTTGGATTTGCCAGAAAGTGGCAAGCAAAGGCAGAGATGGCAGATTTGGCACGATCTTGCCCATTTGGTAATGTTTGGCAACATGTCATAGATGGACCGAGATTCTAGAACAAACTTTTAGCAGTTTTCTCAGGAATATTCTCGAAAGTAGGTGAAAGCTATATATACCCTGCCTGTATGGGGAGAAAGTAGTGTTTTGAGTTCAGCGATTAGCTTGAGAGTGAGCGACTCGGTCAGGAGTGCTTTGTCATGAAGCTGTCTTCATGGCAAAGCAGTATGTCCCTTGAATGTCGCTTGAAGGATTTGTTGCTGATTGTTTCAGCATGTTTGTGGTAGTTTTTTGTACTAGTGTAAGCGTGCCTTTGGAACTGTCCTGTGTAATAGTGCTTAGTGTTTTAATTCTTCATCAAGTGTTGCCATCAATTACTCCAAATCCACGAACCCATAGAATGCAACAATTGGTGTTAGAAGTGGGATTTGTGCATAAATGCCAGTGACTCACTCACCTACAGGAAAAAGCCATGGCAGAGGAAATGAATGCTTTGATGGACTTATTGGCAGTTGTAAAAGCTGGATGAAAAGAGATGAAAGGTGGACAGGAAGAGATGAAGGCTGGGATCAAGGTGGGACAAGAAGATTAAGAGAGCAAAATAAAATCTGATCAAAAAGAAATAAATGCTAAACAAGAAAAGCTTCAAGGGCAACATCAATAGATGGAAGTGGAGCAAAACAAGATCAGAAGTGGCATCGTGGAACTTAGACAGGAAACGATGTTAAATTAAAAGACATAAAAAAGAACATGTAGGAAGAGTCAGAGAAAACTGAAGCCAAAATAGCAGATGTGAAAGAAAGATTGAAGAAAAAAGTAGATGTTTTGTGTTAAACATAAAAAATGTCGTGGTTCGCAAAACAAATATATATTTATTACTGAGATATGCAGAGATACATGCAGAAATACAAGCAAGCAGAGTAATACAAGCAGGGATAAGCGGTTACAGAGGTCGTATATATAACTTTACAACAGATCATGGTTTAAAAATCATAAACAAGACACAATAAATAACCAATCAAAAATAACAAAGAATGGGATTCAGTTTCAGAATAATTCGGACCTGACCGAAAGCTAATGAATGTATCAGACGTGACAGAAAGCTATACTTCCTTTTAACCAGTAAGAATGTGATTAGAAATATCTCAACACCCCTTAATAGCACATTATACAAAACTTAAAAGAATTACACAATTTTTAAACAGCTCAATGATAACAGTTCATAGAATTTTGTTTTGGACAAAGCCTTAGTTAACATATCTGCAATTTGTAAACCTGATTGTACATATTCAATTCTAATAGTATTTTCCTTAACAGTCTTACAAGTGAACTTTAATTTTATATCTATATGTTTCAACCTACCTGAAAAGTTTTCATTAACAATACTTTTGATACATGACTGGTTATCTTCAAAAATATAAACATTTTTAACACTGGAAATTTCATTTACTACATTTTTTATCCATAAAACATCTTGAATACCTTTACATAAAGCAATTATTTCAGCTTCTGTTGATGAAAGTGCAATACACTTTTGCTTGTTACAGCACCACATAACAGGACAGTTTAAAAACATTATATAATAACCAGTAATTGATTTCCCATCTTGAGTATCTCCCCCCCCCCCCCAATCTGCATCTACATACAAACATAAGTTTGCCCTTTCCAAATCATCCTTTTTGTATATCGAGTTTAAATTTAAGGTTTTTTCAAGTACCTAAGAATTCTTTTTAGAGCACACCAGGCAACATCAGTAGGATGCTCCTGCAGTTGGCTTAAGCAATTTACAGCAAGTAAAATATTTGGCTTTGTGATATATGCTAAGTAAAGTAAAGATCTAATTAATCCTTTGTATGGGCCATGAAATGCATTTCCTTTCTGAAAATCAGCTGCTGTAGATTTTGGTTCAATGGGAGTTTGGGCTGTTTTACAATCAGACATTTTAAATTTATCAAGTAATTTTTCAATATATGGTTTCTGATCTAAATATAAACAACCAGACTCAAATTTCAGTCTAATGCCTAAAAATTCTGAGACCCTTTCAGATTTTGACATTTGAAATTCACTAGACAACAATGATATTATAATATTTGTTTCTTTTACATCTGAACCTGCAATTAATAAGTCATCTACATAAAGAGCCATAATTACTTTCTTACAATTTAAATTTCTGATGAAAATACATGGTTCAGAGTCCAATTGCTTAAAATCTAATTTAATAACAAAATTAAGAAATTTCTGATACCATTGTCAAGGAGACTGTTTAAGACCATATAAACTCTTTTTAAGTTTACATTTCTTACCACTCATATCATCATATCCTCTTGGCTGGTCCATGTAGATGATTTCATCTAACTTACCGTTCAAGAAAGCTGTCTTGACATCTAAAGTAAAAGTTTGCAAACCGTCATTATTGATAATTACCAGGATTAAATGTAAAGAGCACATACTAATCACTGGAGATAATGTGTCTGTATAATCTATGCCTTCCTTTTGCATAAAGCCACGAGCAACAAGCCTGGCTTTGTAAGTTTCATCTTGTTTTTTACGTAAAACCCATTTGCAAGAAATAGGTCTTTTATCAGGGGGTAAACTTTGTAGGTCCCAGGCTTCGTTATCTTCCATAGATTTCATTTCCTCGTCCATAGCTCTTTTCCATAGTTCTTGTTCTACTTGTGGTAGATTTACAATATCTTCAAATGTCAGAGTGTCTTGTTGTGCAAACATTACTTTGTAAATCTCAGGATTGGGATACCTAACTAGCTGTTTCTTTTCTCTTGAAGATTTTCTTTGTTCCTCCTTCTTATTTGCAGCATTTAATTCGCCGTTATCAGTGTCTAAAATTGATTTGTCTTCATTTTTAATGTCATCATTGTCATTTTCACTCAAATCAGAACTATCGGAAATATATTTTTGATTTTCTACTTTCTTCTTTTCTTCATTAAATTTAACATTTCTGGAAACAATGATGCATCTTGTTTCCGGAATCATTAAACAATATCCCATTGTGGAATAACCTACAAATATCATTCTAACAGATTTTTCATCTAGTTTTTTTCTTTGCGATGGTGGCACAAGAGTATAAACATGACAGCCAAATACACACATGTTTGTTAAATCAGGATTTTCACCATACTTCAGAAATTAAGGAACACGATTGTCAATTGAACTATTTGGGAGTCGATTATTTATGTAACCAGCCGTACGTACTGCTTCACCCCAAAGGAATTTTGGTAATTTTGCCTCAAGTATCATTGCTGTATCTTTTTCCAGTACAGTTCTATTTGCTCGTTCAGCAACACCATTTAGAAAAGGTGTATAGGGAGGTGCATGATCTATTTTTACACCTGTTCTTTTAGCAACATCATGCAATTCTCCACTGACATGTTCTTTGGCATTGTCACAGTGCAGTTTTGTAACAGTTGGATTCAATTTAAAGAATAGCTTGAGTTCATCAGCAATATCACTTTTTCTTTTGAACAGTCTGATTTCCATAAATCTCGAGTAGTCATCAATTATAGTCATGAAATACTTTTTCCCGTGGAATGTTTGAGGTTCTATTGGACCACATATATCAGTGTGTATAGTTATAAGCAGTTTGGATTCTTTTATGTGAGGACCCTTTCCTATAGGCAAAGCACTTTGATTGGCATGAACACATACTTCACAAAAGGATTCTTTTGCAGGAAAATTCATTAGTTTTAATTTTTGATCACAGTAGTGTCCTAATCTTCTGTGCCATAAATCATCATTCTTTACTGCTAAAGCTGTAAATAGGTTTGGTGAAAAATTACTAAAATATTGTCCGCATTTGTCCAAATATCCAAAACAAAAACACTTGTTTTTGTGTTCAATGTAAACTATTTCATTTTTAAAAATTACGCTCAAACCTGCTGCTTCAATATTTTTAACAGAAATTAATTGTCCATTTAATTTTGGAATGTAAAGAACATGTTTTAACATTATTTCAACACCATTCTTAGTTTTACTGCAAATATCACCAATTACTTCCGCTTCTAAAACCGCCGACTTAGACGTGCACTTAACAGTTCCAGTCTTAGGCTTAATTGAGGTAAACCATTTCTTGTGAGAAGACATATGAGAAGTTGCACCAGAATCAATAATAAATTGATCATGCACAAGATTTCCAGCCATAAAAGCTATTGCAGGGGATGCATACTTATTACTATTTGAATTTGCCTGCTTTTTAGAATTATCAAAACATGCACTTTTGAAATGACCAGATTTCCCACAGTTATGACAGACGCAGTTCTTTTTCCTACAGAATTTAACAGAATGTCCTTTTCTTTTACAATAAGTACATAACAATTCTTTACGAGCACTAATAAAAACAGAGTTATCCGTATTTGGTTTAGAATACTTATTTTCACTTTTATAATCAAACATAAGAGATTCACAATCAATAAGTCTGCTTGTAACAAAATCCAAACTCAAATTATCACTTGGTTGATTTTCTAGAGATGCCTTAATATTTTCATATTCCTTTGGCAAAGACATTAAAACGTAAATAATAATATCA